CTTCCCTCCTCCTAGGTAATGCAATTGGTACCAGAGTCTGTGATTTTGGTGCAAGAACAGTTCTTCTTAAACAGCAAACTTTTCCCAGGGTTCCACCCTTCATCGGAATTTCCTCAGTTCCACATATTAAAACTCCAGATTTTAAGTCGATGTTACACTGGTGCCCTTGCAGGAAGTCAAGTCCCAGGATGCAGTCATCCAGAATTTTGGCCACAATAACCTCATGTCGATAAACACGTTCCCCAATTTTGATTGTTACATGCAGTTTTCCACTTATCGGTATGCACTGGCCGGTAGCTGATTTCATTCGTAGGCCAACAATTGGTTTAAGGTGTTTCCTGATGTTTTGCCCGAGCAGCCGAACATTCATCACCGTCCTTGAAGCTCCAGTATCTAACGTTAGCTGACTGTTTTTCCCATTTACTTGACCGTCTATCACCAGAGTATTTCCATCGTTAGTTTGCTTGATGTAGATTGTTGGGGTTATTCCACTACCGGCCAGCGCCCACCCCGCAGCCCTGGCTGGATTTAGTTTTCCTGCTGGTCAGAAGTTGAGACCGCCGCGTCCTGGCGGTTCGCCTTCTTCGGGCAGTCGCTCCGCATGTGCCCACGCTCTCCGCATCCATAGCACATGAAGTTCCGACGGCGTGGAGGTACCTGCTCCGTTGTCGTCATTTCCCGCAGACGTAAGGTACGGGAGTTACCACGCACGGCTTCCACTTCCAATGCATGGGCCAGAGCTTCTTTCATGTTCTTGTGATGGCCCAGATGAACAGCAGCTCGTACTTCGGGGTCCCGAACACCGTCAATGAATGCTTGGAGAAGCGTGCCTTCAATCATTGACGGAGTCGACCGGAAAGCTCGACGCACAAGTTTCTCGATTTCCACGGACCATTGCTGTAGACTCTCATTAGCACGCTGAGTACGCTCTTTTAATTGCGCTCTGTACACGTGCTCGAGGTGGCTGTCTCCAAAACGTGCCTCCAGTGCGTCGAGGAGGGCACTAAAGCTGAGATCCCCACTTGCGCCGATAGCTTCCAGCACTGAGAGCGCTTGATCACGGAGGGCCAGGGTGAGGGCTGACTGTGCTTCCTTCTGAGTCCAACCATAAGCCTCCATAAGTGTCTCAAACTGTAGCTTGAACGCGGTCCAGGATGTTGTTCCGTCGTAATGGGGAATCTTGAGGCCTTTCGTTGCGCTAGAGGCCACATTTGGGGTGTCAAAAACGGCTGCAAGACGGCTTCGGCTCTTCAAAGGGCTTGGGCTTGCCACTTCCTGCTTGATTTTGGAGATCTCTTCTTCCACTCTCTCCTCTATCGCCATGACGCGATGTTCCAACTTGCCTAACCCTTCCTCCACTTCTTGTACCCGTTCGACAGCCTTTTGCAGTCCCTTCGTAAAATCCTTATGCATCTCTTCCAAGCGACGCGCTTGCTCCTCTTGGCGGCGAGCTTGATCCTCTTGGCGACGAGCTTGATCTTCTTTCAGCTCCCGAAGCTGTTCTGCCTGACAGCGTGCTTGCTCTTCTTGGCGGCGCGCTTGCTCTTCTTGGCGGCGCGCTTGCTCTTCTTGGCGGCGCGCTTGCTCTTCTTGGCGGCGCGCTTGCTCTTCTTTAAGCTCCCGCAGCTGTTCTGCCTGACGGCGCGCTTGCTCTTCTTGGCGGCGCGCTTGCTCTTCTTGGCGGCGCGCTTGCTCTTCTTGGCGGCGCGCTTGCTCTGCCATCATTTGCTGCAGCTGTAGCAGAAGATCCACCTGCACAGGCTTGGCTTCTGCATCGCTGGTTCGAGCTGCAGCACCCTCTTCCCTCACACGCTGCGCTTCTGACATTGAACGGGTACTCACTCCTCTTACGTCCTGCGGCACTAGCGGCATTTTTCTCCAATCCCACTTCTGACACCAAATGTTACGTGCCTGACGTCACGTTCCTGACTATGCGGGCTTGAGTTACGGGATTGGATGAAATGAAACACTAATACCGTTTTCAGACTTTCTATTGCACTTAAGTTACAGCGTCCACGGAGTTAAGTTATCGGCGTTCCTCTCCAGCAGAGTCCGGCCGACTGACACAACTTTGCCGTTCACGCTGACTTAACTCACTTAACTGACTGCACTTCACTATTTCACTGCACTTCACTATTTCACTCACTTTTCTTCTTTTTCACTTCTTCCTTTTCTTCCGAATCGCTTTAGACTTAGAACTCAACTGCCAGCGGTGAGCCGCAGTTCCGCTTATATACCCCTGGTTCAGGTTCTGGAACATTCAATTTCGTTATTCTTTTTGATCGTCATGACTCCAGAACCTTCCAATAATTTCGTTACTCATTTTTATTTATTCTCCTTCTCGCTCTTTAATTTTTCATTTCTTTCACACAAATAATTCCAGAAAGTTCCACAAAACTTCTATCAACTAAAAAACTTCATGTTTACGGCGGGACTCGAACTCGGGGTCTCTGTGGTGTAATCCACACGCCTTACCGATTACACCAACTCGTGTTGACAATTCACGACGAAATTTACAATCTCTAGGCAACGTTTGACAACCATCCATTGACGTCATGATGTCAAAGAGTTTGAACCACTTTTCCGTCACAATACCATGGCCTCACAGGAAACCGGCCTAAAACAACACGTCGGCGCCGCGTGCTTGACTCTATCGGGGGCCCATTACTTTCCATTCCATATTACATCAATCCCTTACAACCCATAGAAGACCAGCAACGCACTTGTAATTATTCCATTGGTCTTGCCTATGAGCGGCGCGCATCGCTCACCATCAAGTGATATATCTACTGGTTAACGGTCTGCAAACTTAAAACACAAAATGACTTACATTTGACTTTGACATTACTACAACAATAGTGACCAAGAGACATGGTAGAACCTTCCACATCAGAGCAACTAGTTGACCTTGAGGGTTTCTTATTATCTGAACAATAACGTCGAGTTTTCTAGAGCAAGCTAGATCACGCAGCCATTGGGATTACTGTGGCTTAGGAAGCCTTATTAAATTTATCCACACGAGTGTTATCGCCTGTTACCATATGCTAACGCACGATAACTTGTACCGAATGGTCTCTTAAAATGTCACTTAGTAAATTGAGATAGGGTTTCTTTTACCATATTTTTTGGAGGTGCCTTCGTAAAGTATCGTGGAGTTAGAGTCCACACAGGTCTTGTTTCAGGATAATGAGGAATTTGAGAGTGAGAGCGTTTCATATAAATTAGGTTTTTTTGGGATAGGACAGTAAACGAGCAGACATTTCTTTTACCTGATGCTAAGCACGAGCCGACATTTGTTTGACAAAGTAACCCGACTAGTTTCAAGTCATGATAAGGGCTCAAATTCTTGCCTAATTTTCAAATTTCGAATGGAATGAAATGAAATATGTGCTAATATTAATGCGCAGTGCTGATAGATATATGAAAATAGGAGATTTTACCAAATAGTTCAAAATCTACCAGAACCTAGCATCTGTAGACGTCTTCCTGCGTCGTCAGTACCTATTATATATGCAGCAATACTCACCAAATACAAGTTTTGTAAAATCATAGCAATGTATATATAATGATGATTCCAATGTTTAATAGGACATTGGAATCATCGTCATAAAATGTAGGCTATGTCAACATCTATTGAAGCGATTTGAGATTTCTGGAATTTAGATGTTAAATAGAGGGAAGAGACCACTTTAATGTTATTATACTCACTCTGGTATAGTACTGATCCAATTTCTCAAATTGTTATTCATGATTGGTATGTAGTATACATAATATAAATATGTTTATATTGATAATCGGCGCAACGGGACGGTCTAAATAATTATACGATTTTTCGTGTGGCAACATGATCAATGACATCTTTTTTAGAGAGGGGATCGTCATCAAATGGCTTCTCTCTCGCACGGTGGTGCGCCTCAACATGTCCCATGTAAATCTCTCATATTTATTTCATATTTACATTGGTAACTGAAAATTTATGAAAAGATTACCCCTTTTTTCATTTTCTATCAAATTGGTACAAATAAACAATGGATTTATTTTTGTAAATATAGGACACTAGCTACTTTCACGCAGTTTCACCCACTGCTCGGTTCCATTTAATCGTAGCTTGATGTTTTATAGCCTATGGTACTCAGGAACATTGCAGCTATTTATCAGTAAAAGAATTTTGGCAATCCGATCAGCGGTTCCAAAGATTACCCCTACATACAAACTTACAAACATACAAACTTACAAACTTACACATTTTACCTCTTTATAATATAAGTATAGATAAACCGTGTCTGTGTAAGTTACTGTTACATGCATGTATTTTACACGTCAACATTATATCAAAAATCTAGATGAAGCCGGCACAGAATTAAGGGCTGTGACGTCACCTTATTTTTGTGTCAAAGAACAAGTTAGAAAAATATGAATATTAAATATGATTATTAAGTGTGATTATAAGATGTTATAATTTATTAATATTTTAATGCATTGAAAACTTACAATTATTTATATTTAATCGAATTGATGGTAAAAAATTATAAAGTTTAACTAGTTTTTTTTTTATTCTCTTGTAAGGTATAAGGTACCTTATCATGTTTTATATTGCTTTTAAAAGGTATTATCCTTAAAAAGTCTTTGAAAACAACCATTTTATTTTATACAATTTGAATTTGTAAACAAAATCCATTTAAAATTGAAGTGAATAACTTCAAAGACTCTTGTAAATAGAACTATTTGCGTAGGCTCCAAATTAATTACGGTGCCTAAGTATTTTAATTTCGAATTATTTTGGATTGAAAATGTAAAGTAGGTAATAACGAAGAAACCGTTTATTAAAGATTCAATTGATTTATAAAATTAACTAGTTTGTAACCGCGGCTCATTTGTACCAACCCTACCTATCCTACCATGGCCTGCCTACCATTCTATTCTAATTTATAAAATTAAATAGTTAAAAAACACGACTTTTGTATGTATTTTAAGTGTGGGAGAGCCAAGCTTAGGCACGAATGGGTCGGCTCGACCGGAGTGATACCACGGCCTCACAGAATACCGGCGTGAAACAACCCACAGCGTTGTGTTTCACCGTGTGAGTGAGGTTACCGGAGGCCCAATCCCTCCCCTTCCCCTATCCCTTCCCAATCCTTATATCCGCAACGCCCATCCCCAAAAGGCCGGCAACGCACTCGTAACTTCTTTGGTGTCCATGGGCGGCGCCGATTGCTTACCATCAGGTAATCCGTCTGCTCGTTTGCCGACTTATACCATAAAAAAAAAATCGATTTACAATTTTAAAGATTTTTTTTAAAGTTTGATTGATGTATCCAACTAATATAATAAAAACGAAACTTTGGAAATATACGTGGATGTTTAATAACATAAATGTTATATTTACGCGGGTATTAACGGGTATTAAGACTGACAGTCTGCTTGTGACCACGACCTGTGCAACCAGGTCGAAACGTCAAGCATACCAAGGTATTCAAATAATAATTTTCCGCGTTAATACCCGCGTAAATATATGTTGTTAATATGAAACGCGAAAGTTTAAAAGTTATTACGTGGACTAATGACAGATTTGAATTTTTTACTCTGGCTGTAGGCGATGCCACTGGCAAAGTAGTTGTATAATAATAGCGCCATATCAACACTATTAAATAAAGTAATTGTAGTTTTTTCCTTTTTGAAGGTTTAACTTGTGATTTATCTTCAATGTCATCAAAATCATTCACGTCTTAATTTATAAAATCTATATAACTATTCTAATTGAGATTCGACTGCTTCGTTGAGACTCAACGTAGTATATAGTCAAACATATAATTTCACACACACATCACATCCAGACCCGGAACAACAATTTGTCGATTATACAAAGAGTTGCTCCATGCGGGAATTGAACTCGCGATACGCTGCCAGTTGCCTAACTACCACGCCAACCGTGCAGTCGAAGACTTGATTGTCTCTAGTTGACAGTAGATGGTCTCTCGATAGGACTAGTCGGTATCTCTTGCAATTAGTCGAGCAAGCATTAAAATCAACCACGAAGGTCCGAAGTCGAATATCAGATATGTAACCATCCTAAAGTATTCGGTTTATGAAAATAGAAATAGAACGTTCGAAACAAAAAAGAAAATCAGAATTCCATTTCTATCCGGTCAAAAGCCACTCAATAATCTTTTTTTCTGTCAATATTTGAGTAATTCATCAGATTGAATATCGCAGATGGATGGATGGAGTGGACCACGCAACAAGTGTGCTTCGTTCCAGTGATTGATCTGTACCTCTACCATGAGTTCAAAGCACAAGTATTTGAAAAATTCACATATGTAAGTTCGTGGTACGATGTGGGTGATAAAGCCTATTGGTTAAAATACCCTTACAAAAAGAAAAAAAAATAGCACTTGTTAATAGTCGACAGCGAGGGTGTAATTTTTTTATATGGCAATATTTACAGCGCCTCTAGTGGTCAATTACGGAACTAAAATTTGCCGCTCAAAATCTATGTCTTTGCCATCCAGTATCGAAGAATTTACAAATTTTACAATTACTACAATTATTTTAAACTCGTAGTAGAGGTACTGGGACCATCTAGAACTTTCCTCTCGTAAAAACGAATGGCTTTAACGATTCGGTTTGTATGAAGTAAACTGTCCATGTAGCGGGATTTTCCGAATGTAGTGTGTTGTACTGGCGTTATTGTGTTCGAAACGAGTGGGAACTGTTTTTGTTTCATTTTGGTATTACGTTTTTCTTTCTATTTTTCTTTATTAAAATCTTACACTAGGACTTTTTCCTGTGTTGAGGGTGCGTTTACAAACGTAGGTCAGGTACCCGAAACAACAATAATTTGTGAATCACACAAGGATTTGTTCCACTCAAAAACAACCCGCGACATGTTGCGCGGCAGCCAGTGGCAATCTTAATCCATGGTCCTCTAAATGCACTTGTCCTTGATGTTATTAGTGTCTATGGCGGCACTGATTGCTTACCATCAGCCGAAGCAAAGGCTCCTTTGCCACCTTACCACGTCACACACACTTTACACAAGCTTTATACATCCAATATATCGATCTACATAAAGAAAATTATTTTATCTTGACTTGAAAAGGCATCCAAGTAAAGGCAAAGTGCGAATCGAGTTTCGAATTTAAATTTTAAGTAGAAAAGTTGCCGCATATAAATTTACTTTCAGTGAATTCAATATTTTAAAATAATAATGTTTCTCTTTTGCTTCCAACGGGATGAGAGCTAGTTTGTACGTAGTATTTTGTCGGCAGTGTCACACTCGCGGGAATTTTATATTTTCACGTAATTTTTTTATGACCGTGGCTCTGCTTACTTTTGCTGTTGTACTCTTCGGAGGTTAAAGCGCCCTCTTTTCAGGAGGGTGCGGTTTCGAAACCTAGCAAATACCAATGTGGCTTTTTCCGAGTTACTTTCTACGATTATTAAGTCACCACTGACATACGGTGAAGGAAAACATGGACTTGTAATTCTAATTATAAATTTGAAATCGCCAATCCGCCTTGAAGAAGCTTGATGACAAAGAAGGTTTGAGCATTAATCTCAAACTTAAGCTCAAACCTTCTTTGTGTGAAAAGAGTAAAGCTAAAGTTAGCTGTGCTCATCATGTTACAAGCATGATGGTATCTAGATAGGCATATCTACTTTACTAGGATGTAGAAACACATTTTAATAATAAATAATGTCTCTTAGAAAATTGTTCAGTACAATTTTAGGGTCTTTCAATTGTTCCTGTCTGAATATATTTCCTAACTTCGTAATCAAATACGGTATCACATTAAAACAACAAAATACATAATATTCACATGTCCCTACTTGACAAACTTGTGACATTAACAAATTTTATCAACAACAAAAGCAGATTCCGTTCCTCTTGACAGAATAATGAACGAAGTATCACTCCCCAAGGCTGTGACGTCACAACCTACGTCACGGGCTCGCGGCCCCATATTGACCTGTAAAAGGGAGCGTTCCATTGAATCCGACTGGAGGGTCCCGAAGGCGGAGCCCAGTGGATGCGTCGTGAGTTTACGCATCCCAAAAACCTTAGCGTGACCTTTTATTACACCGATATATTTATTTATTGTCGTACTAGCTTTTGCCTGCGCCTTCATTCGCGTGGAATAGTGACTTCCTGCAGATTTTTGGTATAATGACTATGTCCTTCTTCGAGTTCCAAACTATGTCTGTACAAAATTTCACAGAAATCGGTTCAGTAGTTTAGGCGTGAAGAAAATACAGACAGATAGAGTTACTTTCGCATTTATATTAGTATAGAAGTATTAATTGTCGTACTAGAATTTAAAAGGGTTTTGTTAGACAATAGATTTCGACCATTCTACATATACCTGCTGTTAAGGCGTAGACAATAGACGCCACATCATTGTTAGATTTTCAATGAAAAGTTTTCTAATATTTTAACACTAATTGTTTGTTGGAATCGATCGATCGTTTTAGCTCGTTTGGTTTTGTAAGTAATTAGTTTATTGCTTTTCTTAACCGAATACAAAATTATCTAAATTTAATTAAAAATAAGAAGTACAGAATCAATTTGCACGGTTCGTCTGGACTCTGAAAGAGGTTTTTTTGTCAGGGGAAAAACATCAAATGACTTCTCCCGCCCAGGGCCGGGCGGGAGGGAGTCAGACTCTTACTGACTAAAAACCCCCTTGTTCCTTCTCCTGCTCTGGGCCGAGGTCGCGGTGCCTCATTGCGATTACCCCACAACTCGTTAGGGAGTGGCTGAGGTTACTGGTGAAAGCCTAATTATGTACTACGGCCCCGGCTGGGAGCAGGAGAAGGAACGGGTGCTTTTTAGTCAGTAAGAGTCTGACAGAACGTCAGGGAGGGGTCCCGGGCGGAAGGGAGTGTCAGACTCTTAAATTACTGACTAAAAACCCCCTTGGTCCTTCTTCTGCTCTGGGCTGAGGTGGCGGTGCATCATTGCGCTTATCCCGCAACCCAGGCTGAACTTTAAAAGAGGTGACATGACCTCTGAGCTCGTTTCCGAATTTCTTCTCAGTGTAGTCAGATAGAAAATGCCATGAGGTCGACATTCATTTCATATCGTGTAAAAAAGTCACTTTGTAACCTATTTGCTACATAAAAATTACATATCTACAAACTACACTACTAAACTACAAAAAAGATTTTCATATCTCAACAACAAACACATTATTACAAATATATCTACAAGAGTACATAAAAAGAAATCTTAAAGCTCTATACATAGATCACATATTGAATCGTACATAAAACAGAGACTACATTACACCCTCAATTCATTCGGGACGTCGAACAGATATAGAGAATGTCGATATCCTTAACACATCTGACAATTGTCGTTCTAAATATAGAAAGAAAACTCTTGCCATTAACTCCGAAGAAAAAGCGTTCGAGAAAATACAGTTTGAGACCTAAATCGATTTATTCGGCGAGGCGTCAAGCTGAGCTCCATTTTACTGCTTCTAAAATAGCCAAGACTTCATCTACTAGAGTCTTGCCAAATGGGTGGAAGTTCTGAGATTTCTTTTTGTGTTTATGTAGTCAAAGATTTTTGTTTTGAAGCTGGTCTTAAAGCTTCCTAGATTAGTAAGTATGTAAAGCTTTGTCTGTACTAGTTTGCAATAATTCTCAATAAAACAAAAATAGAGCGAGAAGTAGCAATAATTAATTTATATATTTATTTATTCAAAAACATGTACAGGCGGACTTAATGATTAAGGCGTTAAATAGCAATAATCAAAAATATTTTTATTTTTTTGTAAAATGTCTGTATCAAAAAACACAAAGAGTATTGTCTATAGTCTGTTAAACGAGGTTTAAATTGTAACTAGGTAGATGTGTAGGTTCAAAAATGTGTATATTCTCAAATTAATAAAGAATTTTATAAAACAAACAAACAAATTACTATGTCACCACAAAACTGCAAGTCATTTCGGTTTTTGTCGCGTGAGAGTGTACAGGGGAACTGTACACCCTGATTCGTCCTAGTCCATTCCACCACCATACCGCCAAATACAACCGGCACAACGTCACCGCTTCATTGTAGATATCTCATGCACATGCACAAAGCGATTCACCTCCAGATTTTCTTCAGAACAGCTATGGAGTGGCACTCTTTGCCGGAGTCTGTGTTCCCTCGTATGTTGGTATATCGTAGGCCCCATCATAGCTTACCACCAGGTCACCAAGCAGGAGATAGCAGCCAACCGCTGACCCATTGCTAATAATAAAATTAGCTACGCCCTTTCACTAGTTTCAAGGCAACGTACAGATTTTTCTATGAGCAGATTTATCTTAGAAGTTCATGGTTAGTGAGTCGGAAGCCGGTCTTTGAAGTTATTTACAACCCAAGTAACTGACATCGGAGGACATCAAACGGTTGTTTTTAAACTGTGATCTAAAGGTCCAGGGGAAACGTGGTTAATTAACATCTTGAAGATTGATTGGTTCGTCATTATTGCGGACGGTTTGTTGCTAATTGCTTATTGGTTTTCGTCTATTTTTGAAGGTCAATTTTAGAAGAAATTAAATGTGGTAGTTGGAAGATGTCTTTATTTAAAATAACGATCTACTTACGTAAATAAATTGAGTAAAGCTCTACTAGTTTCAAGTGTCAATGGGACTCTTATTCATGACCAGCGTGCGCGTCGCGGCGTCGTTGCGCAGACGACTGGTCTCGGAGGACGTCATCGGTTTCTCTTACATTTTTTATTCCAATATATTACCTATTTTATTCCAATTATTACTTATACATCTTGCCTTCCAAAAATGTCTCTTTTGGAAAACGAAGGTAAGAATGAGGATACAATATCGTTATCCTCTGATAAAAGTGACTTCCCTTAACCTAACGAATACAATAATGTCTTTCAACTGATCTGACGTAGTGTCCTGAACAAAAATATGTACGATATCTTTGTATCATAAGGATGCCACAGTACACGATTTCATATAAAATCTATTCATATCTCATATCTATGAAACAATGAAACAATGAATTTATTTTTGCAAATAGGCCATAAAACGGCACTTTTACACGTCAATTCATATGTGAAAAACTAGATGAAGCCGGCATTTCCTATCTGACTACCCTGAGAAGAAATGCCGAAACAAACTCAGAGCAGAACAAATTTGACATTCTTGAAATACACCAATTGAATAAGTTATTACATGGATATATTTTAAGCACGCCAGAGATAGAAATAAATGGATTTATTAGCTGTCAGTAACATATTGTACCCTACAACAGATACACTCATACACACACAAACGCACACATGCGAGATTCGATTCAATCATT